GGAGGGAAGCTAGGCAAATAAAGATCATTCTACAGCTATGGGCTGAATGCTTTCGAGAGGCTTACTGAGGAGGGATATCTAACCCAACAGTGCAGGAGAGGGAGGCGATGGGAAAAGGTCGGTTAGGGAAGGCTGTCTGAGCATTGATCTGTCAATGGTGGGTCCCAATCCTTTTGAGGGTTGTGAAATCCATTTAGTGTCTAGCAACCCGCGTTTTTAAAAAATAGAGAATATCCTAGTATATTTTACATACAAAGAATATGCACCAATGTGTGTGTGTTTGTGTGTGTAGTGGGTTGCTTACTTTGGGCCAGGGTCCAAAGGTTTGAGACTTGTGGTCTGAGAGAATTCTTGCATGCCCAGATCCCCAAGGCCTGGCACCCTGTCTGCACTCAAAGGCTTTTCGATGCTTGGAAGGATGAATTTAGGTTCTCACCACCATCCAGCAAGCAGGTACCAGACCAGCCTCCCCAGGTAAGAAAGGCATTCTCAAAGCCCAAGTCTAACAAACCTGGGTTTGTCCAGCATGCTTGCCACTCAGCAGTTTGTGGTTCAGGGGGCTAAGGTTTTCGAGTCAGGCCTAAAGGAAGCTTCTCTGCCTGGGGAGAGTGAAGCCAGTGTGAGGTGGGGGAGGAGAGGCCCGAAGGTGAACCGTGAACCGAAGGCAACCCTCCTGCTGGTGCCCCAGCCCATGATCTCCTATAAAAAGAGTATCCCCGAGTGGCATGCACTTCATAATAGCAGTGGCTCAGTCCACTCTGTTTATCCCAGGACTGCCTGGGGCACCACTGTGGGCCTGCAAAGCCAGCAGCCCTGTACCTTCAGAATGCCAACATGAAGCACTGTTTGTAGAGGCAGACCACGGCCTTGGAGAAAATAGGAGATGGACAGAAGTCCAACTCAGTCCCCGGCAGGATGAGGTGAGTCAAAGGTAATGACTAGGTGGCCATAAACAGAGACTCCTTTTAGTGGTTTTCAGGACACTCCACAAACTCATCTGTCCTATAATATCAGGACTAAAATACCCCGTGGCTCCCTTTACTCCTCCATTGTAGACTCTTAATGTCAGAAGGACCCTAGAAATTATCCAGCCTGACTCCCTCATTTTACAGATGAAAAGAGCAAGGGGCCCAGAGAGGTAAGGCGCCTGGCCCATGGTCAGCCAGCAGGCAGCTCGAGAGTGGGGCTGGGTTGGAACATGGGTCTCTGGCACACAGCACTGAGGCCTGGGGCCTTCGGACGCCCCTCTCTTGCCATCTCGCCAGCCTTCCTGTCTAGTCTCATCCTAGTCTGGCCCCTTCTTTCTGTGCAACCAGAGAAATCTCTAAATGATGAATCCATTGCTACTCTGCCTGCCTGAAACATTTCCTTGTTCCCCCGCTGCCCTCAGGTGGAAGCTACTCCCCACCCAGGGGCCTCCTCTCTTGCTCTTCTGCACCTGACATACTGTTGTCTCATACTCCCAAACAACATGTAGCCCCTAAATGTGCACTGTTCTCCCCCATCTTATCCTTGGCACACACTGTTCCCTCAGCCTTTTACTTTTCCCAACCCTGCTGTACTTGTCTCCTCTTCTTGAGGCTTCCCATTAGATCCCCCTCTTTCCAGGGAACCTCCCTGGCCTGCTGACCCTGCCTCCAGGTTAGGTATCCAGACTATGCTCCGTCATGGCAACTCTAATCCACTATCAGTTTCTCCTGCTCCCTGAGAGAAGATTCTATGATGCTGCCTCACCCAAAGTCAGATCCACAGCAGCCAGTTAATAAATGTTTGTTGACCAAATAGTCAGTGTCCATCCTTCTCCCAACCTCCTAAGAACGGCCTTCCCTTCTTAGGATGCATTTTTCAAAAGGCTGTTTTTATTAGAGCAATTTTCAGGTTCACAACAAAATTGAGAGGACGAGGGGCACCTGAGTGGCTCAGTGATTGAGCATCTGCCTTTGGCTCAGGTCATGATCCCAGGGTCCTGGGATCAAGTCCTGCCTCAGGCTCCCTGCATGGAGCCTGCTTCTCCCTCTGCCTATGTCTCTGTCTCTGTGTCTCTCATGAATAAATAAAACCCTAATAAAAAATTGAGAGGACAGTACACAGATTTTTCTGCATTGCCCCCTATGCCCATGCCTGCATGGCCTCCCCATTATCAGCCCTCTCCACTGGAGTGCTGCATTTGCTGAAACTACACCGACACCTCATAGTCATCCAAAGTTTCCAGGCAGGCTCATTCTGGGGCAGTACATTTGATGGGTCTCCACGTCAAATACTCCATGTCAAATACTCAATCTCACGATTGAGAGTATCTCCACTGCTCTCAAACTCCCCAGTACTCTATCTGTTCATCCCAATAAAAGTTTCAATTTTATTACCAAGCATGGCTTTTGCCCCCAGGATTCTGGGAGCCACAATTTCTGATTGCTCAGTCATGACTTTTTTTTTCATGCCTCTGTGTCTTTGCATGTGCTGTTCCCTCTACCTGGATGCCCTTCCCCGACATGCCTGCTAATGAAATCCCTGCTCTTTCTTTAAGACCCATCACTTCTGGTACCTTTTTCCGGACTGGCACCCTGCATCCCAGCCAGGTAATGAGGGTGTCCCCCACCTCCCAGTTCAATCGCCCTACGGCGCCCTTCATCCCCCAGGTAACCCCCAGTAGGGGAGAGGGGGAGGAACTCGCCCCTTAGAGGAAAGGGGAGAGCATCTTTGTAGTCACATGAAGGATACTTGCAGCCTATTTATTACAGAGAAAGGCACACACGTGATATCTTTATAGGACAGGGGAGTGTGTGTGGATGCTGACCCACAACAAGACAGTGGGGGCTTTGTGCCAGGGGCCCAGCTACTCTTGGCTCCAAGCCTACCTTGCTATTCTCACATTGCAGTCGGGACTGGGACCCCACAGTTAGATGCTGCAAGGCACACACGCGGAGACAGAAGGGACCCACTCCTTTCTGTGTGGCTTGTTGCTCGTGTGAGTGTTATGTCAGCAAGGCTGACTCACTTCCAATTCCTGTTCCCCCCCACACACCCGGCTTCTACAGGCTCCCTCTCCAGAGAACCCGCTGGGCAGTGGGCCCTGCTCAGAGGTCTGGGCTGCCCCTTCTGGGGGGGGGGTCCCTCTCTCGACCCTGTAGGCTTTCGTATCCCAGTCTCTGGTTTCCCCTCCAGGAGAGGGTGGCTAGCTGCTCCCGGCTGTTACTGTCTCTGTGTCCTCGATGTCCTCCCCTTGCTTCTTCCGTTCTCCAGTATCCCCTGATACTACATTCTCTCTGTTTTCCAGACTGGACTCTGCCTGATACAGAGACAGATAGAACTGCTCACGTGGATCTTCCAGTCTGGGGGAAGAGACAGACAGCGATTCTTGACACAAAGGAGGACTTAATTATAGCTGGGAAGGAAAGTACCAAGTGTATGAGCATGTTAATGGCCCTGGGAAGCCCTTCAGTAGCTGGAATGGTTTAGCATTATTTATAACTGTGCATCTCTTCAGTTTCCTTGATCCAGAAACTTCATAGGGAGCCTATTGACACCCAGAAGAATTAGTGCTCTACACAGTCCAGTCTATTAATGGAAAAGCGGAAGGCATTCAAGGAAACTGCCAGGGGACTTGGCGTGTGAGCATCTGCCGTGTTCCTCCAGGAGCACCAGTGGGGCAGGACTATCTGAGCTCCCAGCCCCAGCATTGAGCCACAAGAGCAGCTGACAACTCCATTTACTCTCATGCCAGTGCCACGAGGCAACCTTCTTTTTTGTGTGTGTGCTACATTTTATTTATTACTATTATTATTATTATTTTTATTGGAGTTCAATTTGCCAACATATGGCATAACGCCCAGTGCTCATCCCATGAGGCAACTTTCTGAAAACCACCAACTCACCAAGGAAATGTCCCTATAGGGAGAGGAGGTTCTCGTCAGCCGGTCTGGGCCTCCTGGCCTTTCTGGCAGTTTTTTTTTTTCTCTCATTTTAGAGCAGAGTTTCTTGACCAGGGTCTTTAGAAGAACCCCCTTAAGACTATGTAAAATGTGCATGCACATGTGCGCATATGTGTGTGTGTGTGTGTGTGTGTGTGTGTGTGCACGCGCACATGTGGGCAGTTTTCTAGGAAGAGGGTCTGCAGTTCCCTTATTCTTTGTGGGACTGTGACTCTAGGAAAGAGAAAGTTTAGGAATCACCATGCTACAGGAAAATGTTCTCATTTTTATTTGTACATTGGCCTCCTGTGCATTTGGTTACTATAAGTTTCAGTCTGATCGGTTTACATTCACTTACCAACAGAAGTTCTGGATCCTCCAAGGTACGCCCCTGGCTGTACCACATGATATCACTCACTTTCTTGACTTTTACCTGTGCTGTTTTCTCTCTGGAAAACCTCTACCCATGCCCTGTGGTCAACTCCCAGTTTTTCTTTGGGTCTTACTTTAGCTGCCATTTCCTTCTTGAAAACCTCTGAATTTCCAATTCTGGATGATGTACCCATTCTTTGTGCTCCCACAGCATCATTCTCACCTCCCTGGGACTCCCCATCTTTACTTCTTCCCCTACCTTTATGTAGGGCCATGTTTTTCCCCTTTCATTGTGCTTTTCCCACAATGAAATCAACCCTTTCTAGTACTTGTCTGCTACCTGTAAAAACATCAACTCCATGTGGAAGGTGGTTTGTGTCTAGCTTTGCCCAACTTTGCTGCCCACATTGAGCAGTGTCTAGCATATAGCCAGTGTTCATTAAATACTGGCCAAAGGATAGCATGCAGAAATCTGTACTTTCATCTGTTTAGTGCTGCACTCAGTTAACCACTAATGTCCTTTGTTTCACTCCACGACTGTGTATAGACTCGTCAGCCATGAGAACCCCTGACTGTGAAACCTTCAGATCATAATTTCTGTCTTTGGTCGGCAGAAGTTTCTTTCTTACCAAATGCATACGTGTGTGCACACATATGCACACACCTAAGTGTGGACCAGAGAAGAGTAAACGTGTGTCATGGGTGTCAGAATGGACATACCTGTGTTTCTCAGAAAGCGATTCCTATAGTCCTTGACAACCCTCGTGGTCGGGTTATAGAAGCCATCTCCACAGTCATAACAGCCCTGAGGGATCTTTCTAGGTGGGTCCATGTTGGTGAGTTGAGAGATCCCTTGAAAGGATACAGTGGATAATTAACTCATTACCAAGGCCAAATCTAATCCCAGGCTCCCGAAAGTCCTCTTTTGTCTGGTCACCCATGGGAATATCTGGTTATCACTGTTGGACTATGGAGCAAAACCAACAGGAGCGGTGCCTCGGAGCAGCTTCCTGAATGGGGCTCTGTGAGCAGGGTCTTGGGGACTAGACCCCCACCTTCTTCCCTCAAACCCATCCTCCATTTCTAGTGACACCATGACAAGGACATAGATTGTGGAGGCAGAGAGACCCCAAGGAGGCATCGCAGTCTGCCATGTGGATAGATGTGTCTGGAGGAGGGAAGGCAGGCAAGGGGCTGGCAAAGGCCAGAGGCATGAGCCCTCAGGCCTCACTCAGGAAGCCTGGAAGGGGCGGGACCAGGTGTGTATCAGGAGAAGAGCAGGAAGAAATGGGTCAGGTGGGCAGGGATCAACTTTGACTCAGCAAAATTACCACCATGGCTGCCATTGAGTGAGTGCTTATGCTGTGCCCAGAAATTCATTACATGCTTGACTTAATTCTCACAGCAGTACTGTGACCCCATTTACAGATGAGAAAACTGAGGCTCAGAGAGGTCAAGTAACTTGCCCCAGATTCTCCAGCTAGGAAGCAGCGAGGCACCCAGCCATAAAAGCTCTATGTCAGGCTGCTGACCCTGGAACAATCTGCCCCATAGGTCACACTGTAGGTCATGCTGCCCTGTGTATTGTATATCTTGAAATGCGGAGTCCTGAGTAATGGGTACAAGGTTGGAATAAATAACTTCTCGGGTTCTCTCTAACTTGTGTTTCCTGTAAATCCCTGTCCTCTGGACGGAGGGCTAGATGCCCACAGAGCATAGCATCCTGCTCATGGTGCAGGGTTCAGCCCTGCACACAGGGCTCAGATGCTGGTTAACAATAACCCTGTGTACACCAGTGCCCAACAGTTCCTGAGCTCTTCCTCTATGCCAAGCACTTTCCAGCCATCCTCTCCCCGGAGCCTCATGCTCATGCCATCTGACAGATACTCAGAGAGGAGGAGGAAAGGGGGAAAGGGCAGCCTTAAGCTTCTCCCTGCCCCTGAGGCGGAGAAGTGGCTGTTGCAGGGCTCTGCCAGGTGCCCTGTGACTTGGGAAGGCCATGGATTACTTAAGATAAAGTTGCCATTTTGGGAGTCACTGGAGGAGAAGGGTGGATGTGGGGAAGGTCACTGCACTGTTCATGAGCCTTTGACAAAACCAGCTACCATGTGACAGCTGAGGGCCTGAGGCCAGGGGCTCTGTCTTCACCTACAGGCTTCAGTGGGCCCACGACAAATTCCAGGCCCTGTCATAACTAACCCAGGAGGAGCCATTTACAAGATTCTCGAGTGGCATCTAGACTGGCAGCTCCATGAAGGCAGGGGCCCCTGCCTGACGCAGAGTAGGTGCTCAGGAAATTAAATGTCATTGCCTTAGCTCCCACACCCCATCTCCCCCTGCTGTGATGTCTGTATTATCCTCCCTGGGTAACTCTTTACTGAGCGCCTGCTATGTGCCAAGCAATGTGCCAGGTGCTGAGGACACACCAGTGAGTGAGACAGAGCCCCGACCCCATAGCATGGAACATGGGGGTGCTCAGGAAAGAATTTAATGAACGCATGAGTGAATATATGTAAGAGGTAGAATCCACAGGACCAGGTGGTTGCTTGTACACAGGGAAGGAAGAAAGCAGGACATGGCCCATCCAGGTGGATGGGGGTGACAGTCTCTGAATCCCTCATGGGAGAAGGGGCTGGTAGGGAAGGGGATGAGTTCCATGCAGGCAAGGGAAGGTATGCCAAATACAGGTGTTAGGGAAGCTGGCTGCAGGAATCTGGGGCTTGGGAATTTTGAACTCCGTTTGGAAGCTGATGATATAAATGAAGGCTTAGAGGTGAACTGGCTTGTTTAGGGAGAGGACACAGAATGTTACCAAAGAAGGCTTAAGGCCAGAGAGCTCTGGAAACCCCCAAATTAATAACGGTGCCAGGGGGAGGAGCTGACAAAGAAGGCAAAGTGGGGAAAGGCTCACCTGGTCAACTATCTGATTCAAGGTGACACAGCCACAGTTTGAGCTCAGGTCTGCCTGACTCCAACCTGGGTGCTTTCTAGAGGTTTCTGCCCTCAGGGAGGCTGGCTTGCCCAGGCTCATCCAGCTATTGAAAGGGAACTTAGAACTCAAACCCAGACCTTCCAGCTCCAGCCTCTGTCAGCTATACAACATCATGTCATGACTTAGGGTTTATTCTTACAGCATGCAAAGTCATTTTCCTGTTTGTCATTTTGGATGTATTGTCTCAGCTGTGCCAACAGCTCTGCTCTTGAGGTGCAGCTGACCATGCACGAGCCCCGGAGACACAGATGAACCCCTTCAGTGGCTGCTCTCCGAATCCAGAGTCTTGGCCCACGTCACCATCCGTGATGGAACATGATTTTTGATGCTACAGGGGACACACTGAGGAAGACCTGGGCTACCCCCCAACCCTGGGAGCTCCCCTACCAGGAAGCAGGTCTGGACTCCCAGGCCTCGGCTTCCTCCTATACAACATGAGACCAGAAAGGCAGGCATGGCGGGGTCATCAGGAGATTCTGTGACACAGGATCAACACAGAACCTCAGCCAGAGCCTGGAACCCAGGGCACATGCTCCTTCGGTGCTGCTTCATTTCCATGCTACAGCTGGTATTAGGAGTAACAAACAGCTGGGATGGGCTGTGCACCCACCGCTGGAAACACTTTCCAGCATTATCTTACTTATAACAGACTTGTGAAGTGGACAATACTATTGTCCGATTTGGCAGGAGAGAAATTGAGACACCTAGCAGTGAATACCCTGGCTGTGGTCCCCGGGTGGTATGGAGGGGCTCTGAGGGTCACTGCAATAGGCCAAGGCCCCTTTGTTTCCCTCTCGGTCTGGTTGTGAAGGAAAGGGAGGGTGCCCGGGTACCTGCAGGCTTCAAGCCGTAGCAGATCTCAGTGTAAAACCTCCTATCATAGCTGTCACAGTAATGCCAGTGCTCCGCATCATACTGTAGCCCATCTGAGAATGTGTATGTGCCCTGGAAGACAAGGAACGTACATGCAGGTTTGAGAAGGACGGATGTCATGGCAGGAGGTGGCTTTTTCCTCTTCTCATGGCCACAGAAGAGAAGTGATAGCTATTCTGGTTATCAGGGTGCTGATGATTAGAAGAAGTGGCTATAGTGCTGAGCTCTGTGACTGGCACTCAAAATATGGCAACTCTCTGTGTGATGCTGGGCAGATGACCTAGCCCTTGGTTTCCTCATTTTGTAAAACTGCATAGTCATGGTATATATTTAACAAGGTTGATTCAGTGAGGCAGTACAGGCAAAGTGTTCGGCACAGTGCCTAGCATATAGTAAACATTCAGTCACGGTTAAAAAGGTCATAGCCACTGTCACAGCCCTTTGTCCAAATATGTACATTCTGCTTCTGCTGCCCCAGTGCTGAAGGAATCCCCAGGATGTAGAGATCGCATTGGTGTGGGCATCAGGAAATGTAGGTGGAAATTCTGATACTGTTAATTCACCGTATGACCTTGGGTAAGTCACATCCCCTTCCTGGGGCCTGGATTCTCCAAGCTGTTAAACAAGGAATATTCCTTAACCTTTTTAAAGGTGGGTACTAGTGAAACCGATGAAAGACGCAGATCTTTCCCGGAGAGAACCATAGTCCCAAATACACAGAAACTCTTGCATATAAAGTGAGAGGTTCTACTGCGCTCCACCACCCCCATTGTATGCATGGCCCACAAATCCCAGGTGGGATTAGATGGGTTAGATGATTTGTCATGATAGTAGCAGTAGTACTGAGATCTAGCACTGAGTGCCTGCTGTATGCCAAGTACTGAGCAAAGCGCTTAAGGATATCACCTCATTTACACTCCCAGCCACCCTAGGAGGTGGCTGGTGCTATTGTGGTGCGTGATTAATGGTGCCCCAAAGATATCCACATCTACCTACTGGATCCTATAAAAATGTTAGCCTTATATGGCAAAAGGTACTTTGCAGATGTGATTAAGTGAAGGATCTTGAAACAGGAAGATTTTCTTGGATTATATGGGTCAGGCCAATATAATCAGAAGGGTCCCTATAAGAGGGAAGCAAGGGGGTCAGAGTGATAGAAGACAAGATGATGACAAAAGCAGAGGAAGGCAATGTGATGATGGAGGCAGACTGATGCATGGCCACCAGCCAAGGAATGCAGGAAGCTTATGGAAGATGGAAACGGTAAGGAAATGGATCTCCCCTACACCTTCTAGAAGGAATGCAGCACTGCTGACTTATTTTAGACTTCTGGCTTCCAGAACTATAAGGTAATAAATTTCTATTGTTGTAAGGCATAGCGTTTATAGTAATTTGGTATAGCAGCAAAAAGAAGTACAACTATTGTCCCCAGTTCATAGGGAAAGCCATGGGCCCAAGGTCACAGTTAGTGGCACAATAGGATTCAGACTCATCATGGCCTCTCCAGGGGCCTTCTGGGTCCAGAGGAGTGGATTCCAGAGGTCTGGGAGATGAGTTGGAGGGGAGCAGAGGGAATGGAAAGAGCTGGGCACCAGATGGAGAGGTCAGGGTCCCCCACAGTAGGGGCTCTTCCTGTCTAAGGTTTTATCCTCTGCAACCACCCCTCCTCCTCAGGCTGATCACCTTCACAACCAGTCCCTTTTCCCAAATGGCATCATAGCGGCTCCCGCTGGGGAAGTACAGGGTTCCTTGGCCATGAAACATGCCATCCTTCATCTCCCCGACATATTTCGTTTTGGTAGGAAGGATATATTCAGCTTCACCCTCCATCCTGCAATGACAAAGGGAAATCATTGGGTCTTGCACGGTGGCTGGAGGATCAGCGCTGGCCGGTGCAGGAGGATCAGAGCTGGCAGGTGCAGGAGAGCAAGTGGGAACCTCATCCTCAGAGTCCTCAGATGTTAGTGTCCCAGTAATATTCTGTTCAAAACAAAATTTTTGTTTTGTTTTCCTCAAAAACTCAAAAATGAGAGGGTCTTTGTTGTTGAAGGTGGGGGGTGGGCCACAGAGTTGTGTCTGTTTGTCTCCTCCCTCACCTAGAGGTTGTCCTGGGGTTCACACATCCCATAGCACACCCCTTGGTAGGCCCAGAGAAGGAAGGGATGTACTCAAAGCCACACAGTAAGCACTGTGGAGCAGAGACCAGGGCCAGGTTTCCTGGCAGTTGGTTCTGTGTCTGGCCTGTCCCCCATGACCAGCCCACCCCTTTATTACCACTTATAGAGAATTTGGACAAGGATGAAATTCAGACAGGGGACATGGGTTTAAATCTTACTTGACTGTTTTCTAGATGTATCATCTTGGAGGCCTTCCTAAAACTTTTGTTTTCCCTCTTTCCTTCCTTTCCCCACCCCAACAAATCTTGACAGAGCATCTACTACATATTAACACCTACCGTAAGTGCTGAGTCTGGTTTGCTGGATGCAACCAGGGTGACAATAGTGATCAAGGCCTATGCAGTCACTGCCCTTGAGGTGGCTCACAGGCTAGTGAGGGACACAATTAAGCAATTACAGAATATGTGTTAATTGCCATGCAGGAGGAAGCACACCCAAGGGGAGCACAGGCCAGGGACACCCAGCTTGACCAGCCAACTGCTTACTTCATGTGTGAAATGGCTGAGATGAATGCCCAAGATCAAACCAGATCATGTATAACGACTGTCCTAATAAAGGGCCTGACATGTAGCGAGTGTCAAAGGGAATACTATCCTTCATTTCTTTATCCTTGCATTCTTTCTCTAGTCTCCCCTGCTAGCTAGATGTCTTCTAACTTGAACTTCTTTTGGCTTTGGTTTGTACTTCTGTTGGACGCTCAGCACGTTCTGCCTTGTGTTATAATTGTATACCTCATATTCCCTACTTAATCAAAGCTTCTGGAAAGGAAGACCTTCGTATCTTCAGTTCTTAGAATCATGGTTCTGTATGAACCGGTGCCCTGTAAACAGCTACTGTGTAAGGAATGAAGGGAACAGAAGGGGCCAGTGAAGTGACTGGAGGGATTACAGAAAATGCCACTGTTGCACACAGGCTCCAAGTAGAAGAGTGCTGAGATTGAGGCACAATTTCTGAGCCATGTATACGTGGAGTCAGGAAGCCTGAGCCAGGCCTGGCTCTGCCTCTGTGCCTGTGTGATCTTGGGCCAGCTCCTTTGCCTCTCTGAGCCTGAGTTCCTCATCCGTAAAATGGGGATAATGACAATACTCTCCCCTAAAGTTGAGATAATTGATTGAAATAATAGCTATAAAACAATAGCAGAATCCCCATAGAGAGTAAGAATTCACACACCATGTTGCGTCTATTTTACTGCGAGACAGAAGAGGAGGCAGAAGGCCTTTTCTCCTTTACGTGTTTATTTGAAATCACATCTACCATTTCTGTCTCCATCAAAACTCTTCTCTGAGATTCAACTGCATCCACTCCCTTTTACCTGTAAACTGGATATCAGTCTTAAGATCTTCTACAGACATCCCCAGCTCACCCCAAATGAAACTCATCCTCTCTTCCTCCAAAGCAGCCCCTCCTCAGAGTTCTCAGTTTCAACAAATGGTACCAGAATCATCCAGAATCAAAGCCTAGAGTTGGGCACCAAACCTGAGACTGGAGGCAGTCTCTGAGTGAGATTGGGAGCCAGTCAGTTGCCAAGTACTGGCAATGAAAAGATTTCCAAACTTCTACATCTTTCTCTTTCGTGCAGCCCCACTGCCTCTGGTTCAATCCAGGGTCCTGCTGCCTCTTACTAGGACAACTATGGTCTCTGACTTGATCCTGCCATCTCTATTCTGCTTCCCTCTCTCCTTCTTTCCTTTCTCTTCCTCTCTCTTTCCTCCCCTCCCATTTTTCTTTTATTCACCCAAGGCAAAAAGCCTTCATCATAAATTAAAAGTAAGTTAAAAAGAACAAAGAGATAAAGACTCCAATCCATAGTGAGGATGTGATTACCATATCTCAAATTTTATTCATTCATTCATTCATTCATTCAGCCAACATTTACTGAGTGATCTATGCGCTATGAAGAGGGCTACAGAAATGAAATAAATTAGATTTCCTAATGCCCAGCCTCACCAAGGATCTATCTATCAGTGGCTCCTCCCACTCACAGAATTGCGCACAGTACTCAAATCTCTCTATGCCAGAGCACAGATCCACCCTTCCAGCTCTGGCTCCCATTCTCCTTTAGACACATCCAACACTCCAGCCAAACTGAACTGCCTGCTCTTCCCCCTTGTAAGTCCTCTGAACTATTGCTCATGCTGTTCCCTCTGCCTGGAAGCATTCTTCATCTTGCATCTCTACTCACGTAAATCCTACCCAACCTGCAGGGCCTGTCTCAAATATTTTCTCCCCCAGAAAGGCTTCAAGGACTGCCCCAACTGGTTGTGTCCTTTGTAGGAGCTCAGGAGCAGGACTGCACAGTAGAAAGCACATGAGCTTTGGAGTCAGACCTGGATTTTGATACCTGATCTGCTCAATGCCAACCAGATGACTTTGAGCAGGCTACACAGTTACTCTGAGCCTCACTTTTCCCACCTGTGAAATGGGGATATCTATTTCATAGGGTTGCTGTGAGGAGGGGGAGATTCAGGCAAAGCCACTGTCTGAAATTATTTTCTCATTTCTTTGTTTGTTGGAAATACACTGACTGGACTGTAGGCTCCATAACAGCGAGGATCTTGACATTTTTCTTCATGTTTTTATCTCCGTATCTAAAACGGGCAGATAGCAAACACATGCATATATATGGAATGAATATATCCCAGCTCTGTGCTTACTAGATATGTGTCCTTGAGCAAGTCACTTTGTTTCCCTGGATCTCATTTTCCTGAACTGTAAAATGGGAATAAACAACCCTACGTGAAAGGCTTGTCCTGAAGGTTAAAAGGAATAAAGTTCGTGAACGCGTCTGGTGCAAAGTCCTTTGCAAAGGCAAAACGGCAGCCGTCTTTCCCCAGTCACGGACACTCAAGACGGTGAACCAGATGAGGCCCTTACCTCCCGTCTACATATTCCCCAACGTGTTGGCTTCCTGTGTACTCCGTGGTGCCGGCCTGAGGCTTCCAGCCGTCGGGATCCTGCAGTCTCAGCGCGTCCCGCCTCACTATGACAACCGAGATGGGCGGGGCCGGAGCGAGCCTCAGAGCCTCCCCGCACGGCGCACGCGCCGTGGCTCGCGGCTGGGCGGCGCAGTGCGCCTGCGTGGCCTGATGCGCAGGCGCAGGCGTGAGGCGGCCCTCGGCGGTCGGAAGGGGACTTCAAGGAGACGGCGGCGACGCGGCTGCGGGCGCCTCGTCGGGTGTAGGGCTCCGCCGTCATGCCGGGGATAGTGGAGCTGCCCACTCTGGAGGATCTGAAAGTGCAGGAGGTGAGGCTCGTTCGGAAGCCAGGCAAGCGGGGCATTGGGCTGCGGCTTTTCGGGCCCGGGCCCAGCCCTGCGTGGTCTCACTGGACTGTGGGCCCTGGGTCCGCCCACGCAGCCCCTCAGACACGGGGCGCTCCCCAGACGCCCCCTCCTCTCCTCTGGGAATCGCCGCGCCCCACCCATCACGCAGTGTCTCCGCAGCGTTGCCTTCCCCTCCCCCACCATGACCCCGCACAGCGAGCTGTCTGTCCTTTACGCGAATACCAGTGATGCTCTTTATTAGGCACCAGCCGGGGCCACTTTGCTTGCTCTAATGTCCCTTAACACGCAGTCCTCCCGGTGAGGTGAACGCACAGCCCCGGGTGCTCACAGCGGAGCGGAGCGGAGAGTGGCTTCCAGGTGGCCCCATCCGTACGCGGCCGCAGTGGCGCTGGGAAGCCGAAGCAGGAGGAGAGGACACCGGAGAGTGGAGTTACTGACCGCCCGGGGAAGGTGTTTGTAGTAGGACGTTCAAGGCGTTCATTTATCCAGGAGCTATTCCTGAGTAGTTGCCGTGTAATACCCAGACCCTGGAGAATAAGAGAGACGATCCCTGCCCTCAGAAAGCTTATGCTTGAATGGGGAGACAGACAGAAAGAGGCTCTTACAGGAAGGTTTGTGCTGTTAAGTGAGGACAAGACAGTGTGTACAGATTACAGCGAATACAACGAAGCCTTCTATCGATGTCAGGCAGGATGCTGATTAATCACTTCACACACATAAATTCATCAAATCCCGCCAGCAACACCACGAGGCAGGGTATTACTGGTCTCTTCATGTGAACGACAAGAAACAGGCCTTGAGAGCAGAAGTCATTTGCCCAAGGTCATGTAGCTCGTCAGTTTAGGGGAGCTGGACCGTGAATCCAGTTCTGACCTTAAAGCCCATGCTTTCAAACTCTTGTATTGTGGGCAAAGCTGAAAAGAGTGAGAATAGTTAGCAGAACCTTTTGTGTCTGGGAGACAAGTGCTGTTTGATGTGGTTCTAGGGTTAGTGGGGAGCAGCCGTTGCAGAGCCTGGAACAAGGTGCCTTGGACTGGCAGGACTGGGAAGTAGCTTCTACAAGGCCAGACTTACTTTATAAGGGAGGTGGAGAGGAGAAGTGGAGGGTTTAAAGGCAGAAGAGTGTCATGGCAGGGCTGGATAGTAGAAAGACAAGGCTGCATAAAAGGAGAAGGAGGGCAACACTAAAAATTATATGCCAGAAATTATATCCCGGGCACTGTGTTAAGGGCTTCACTTGCATGATTTCACTTAAACTTGGATGGCTGTGAGAATGGCAACTATTATTTTGCACAGATGAAGAACTTTTTACCTAATGTTCAGGAACTTTATAGTATAAAGTGGAGGCATCCAGTATGCAGTCTGGTTTCTCGTCCCATAGTGAAGCTAGGTTAGCCTGAAAGTGCTGTATTTTTCATAGGAACCTTAATTTGGTTTAGCAAACATCTGAGGTTCTACTTCCTGCAAATATTCTATATCTGGAATAAATTTGCCGTTAGCATTCATACAGTTGAATTGAAATACAGATAATTACATAACTAAAATACAAGACAAAGTATAATTAAATGTTATGGAAGAAGGGCAGACATGGTTTAAGAGATGAGAGCAGGATTTGAAGTTGGATCTAAATTCCAGGCCTAACTGCTCAGTTACCTTGATTAGTCACTTGTAGCATTTGCAGACATAGTTATTTTATTTGTAAGATGAAGTGATTCCAGCTGTATAATTCTCTGAGGCTATAAAGGGAACAGGGAAAGCACTTCTTGGGCATAATGTGAGACTTGGCTAAATGGCATTTGAAGAATAGCATTTATAGGCCAAGATGGAGTGATGGGCTTTCTAAGCAGGGGTTAGAGCTGAGCAAAAGTAAGGAGATGGGAAAATGCAGGGGGCCACAGGTGGGTTCTGGGGACTGTGAGTTCAGTGTTCTGAGACAGCAGCAAGTCCCTTTTTGGAAGTGTCTTGTTGAGTTAGAAGGCTGGATCCAGAAGGCTTTGAATACCCTGTAAAAAGTTTAGGCTTTATTCTTCTGTGAAGCCTGAATACTTCCAGGGCTTGGTTGCTAATTTGTTTGTAATAGAGTACAGTAAGAATTGTCTTTTAGGAAGATCACCCTGGCAGCTCTGTGAAGGTGCATTGAAGAGGGGGGAAAGAAAAGTGGGGAGGTTAGTCTTGGTGGTTGTTGAAATAATGAGGAGGATATTAATGACCCCAACATAACTGGTGACTGCTCACAGAGTGAAAGAACAGATTTATCTGGAAGTGATCAGACTTAGAAGTGACTTGACTTAGGTCTCACAGGCAGGAAAGGTGGAGGAGTCTGTCAGATTTCTAACCTGACAATGGGCCTGGGGAGGCCAGAGGGAGCAGGTTTGAGAGACAAACACAATTTTGGACCTTGTTGACTTTGGAGTTAAAACACATCCCTATGGAAGAAGTAGTCAGAAGCTTAGGCTGGAAACTCCTTGTACCCATTGACAACTTTGAGTGGAGAAATTATAGCTAATATTTATAATGTGCTAGGCACATCATAAATAAGAACAGATAATAGCAAATATTTATGTTCTTATAAATAAGAAATATTTCTTATTTATAGAAAAATATTAATATTTTTATGTGTGTTAACTCATTTAAATCCTCAGTGGTCCTGTCAAATGAATATGATTATCCCCCATTTTCCATAAGTAAAACGGAAGGCACAGCATAAATTAAATACTGTAGAAGGAGGTGCAGACATGGTTTAAGGAAGAGAGCAGGACTGGAAGATTGGTTGTAGATTGTAAGACTTTCCACACCTGCAGATTGTATAGACTTGCTGTGTGGAGAGGCTGTCATGAAGGTAAATGAGGAAGATGCTGGAACTCTGTTCTTTGAGACAAAGGGAACTGAATGAATTTGAGAAGGTATTCACAGTAAGCAGCTGTGAAAGGATGTTATTTCTGCTGAAACTCATCAGACTTCGTGAAGAAGCAGGTGAGGGGAGATGGTGACATCCAGAGTCTTTTGCCACCTCAGTGCAGGTGATATAATGCAAAGAAGCCTGATTGAAGGTTACCGTCTGTGAATTCCAGTTCTGCAGTTGCCACTGACCTGCTGTGTGTCATCTTGAGCACATCTCTTTCCCCAGGAAAGAGATTTAGTGAGTGGTTATTATCCTTTATTTCCCTGTGACAGAGCATATTTTACATGCTCAACAACTTGTGTGTGCCTAGATTTTGATAAGGCCTCTACATTTGTAGGAAAGTAAGGCAAAGAATGCCGTAACTTTTTTGGGCATGATAGCTGTGAAGACATTTGAGTAATTAAATCAGCCATTTAAAGGTCTTTTAAGGCATTTATCAAGGAGGTAAATAATAGCCACCTTAAAAATTTAAATATATTAAGCTTTAAAAAGTTTGAATCTTGATTTTTTTTAAGAGACAGAGAAAGAGTGCGAGTGCATGTGTGCAGGAAGCCCGATGTGGGACTTGAACCTGGGACCCCTGGAATCAGGTTCCAAACCAAAGGCAGACGCTCAATCTCTGAGCCACCGAGGGGTCCCAGAAGGAAACTTCCTTAATGAGGAATATCCAAAGAACTATATCCCAGACAACAGTAGCAAACATTGTACCAAACTGTGCTTTAAAGTCCAGAAAAAGGGATCCCTGGGTGGCGCAGCGGTTTGGCGCCTGCCTTTGGCCCAGGGCGCGATCCTGGAGACCCGGGATCGAATCCCACGTCGGGCTCCCGGTGCATGGAGCCTGCTTCTCCCTCTGCCTGTGTCTCTGCCTCTCTCTCTCTTTCTCTCTCTCTCTCTCTCTGACTATCATAAATAAAATTAAAAAAAAAAATAAAGTCCAGAAAAAGACCAGAGTGCCTACTGCCATTGCTGTTTATCTGTATTATCCTAGGGTTTTAGTCAAAGCAGTAAGATAGGAAAAAAAGGGAGGAAAAAAGATACAAATATGAGAAAGGAAGGGCAATAGTTTTGACTTGTAAATGGAAGTTTTTCCTCTTAATCCTCATTAGTTTTGTATCAGACTTGACAGAAGTTCAGTAAGATTTGGCTAAAGAGAAGGTAGTATACAAACAAGCAGTAACCAATTTGAAAATCTAATAGAAAAAATATCCTATTAAGCTAGTATGAAAAATGTTAAAATACTAAGGAATTAAACAAGAAATGCACAAGGTTCCTACATGACAGAAACTATAATTTTAACCAGAGCATAAGAATGACCTGAATAAGAGGAAGGACATACTATATTTTGGTGAGAAGGCATAATTCATGTCATCTTGTCTCTTCTGTAACTGTTGTACCCCTGATAGCTGGCACACAGTGAGTGCTCAACAACTACTTTTGCTAGACACTATTTTGGGTGCCTGGTGAGCTACAGTAAACATGACAATTATAGTTTCCTTTAGGGAGAATCGACATCTTCAGTCTAGGAGCTCTGTTGGAAAGAAAATTCCTACCCTCTTGGAGCTTATGTTCTAGTAGTCACAAATGAAGTGACCATTAATGATAGTTTTTATACAGTCATTAGGAAAAGATCCTCTGAGGAGATAAAATTTGAGCAGAGGCCCAGTATTATAAACATGCTCATTCCCTTCTAATTTAATACATAACTAAACTTCATGTAGTTCCAATGCAAATTATTGTATGAGGGGGTTCATCTGAAAGAATAGCCAAAGTGATTTTGAAAGGGAAGAATAAGGAGGAGGGTGATCCTCCCAGACAACAAATGTTCTATCTAGATTATAGCAATGAAAATATTGTGGTATTAGCACAGGAAAAGGTAAACAAAAGAGGCCAGCAGGACCCTTGCTTCAACCGCAGTTAGATGGGCCCTGTGAGGCAGCTGTAACTACACTGTTTCTCAAGAAAATGTACTGGGAGGCAAGTGAAAGAATGACATAGTTATGGGATGACTACCTTGAATATAGTCTGTAACTGTGAAAAAATAAAAAAAATTTAGTGCTTTATCATTAGTAATAACTTTCTGGACTGCATGCCCTCTTACTGATCCTTTCTAGTCTCATCTTCTGTGATTCTGTAATCTTCTGGGAACTTTATGTATTCCTTCACTTTTGTTCCTATAAAGGAGATTCATCAAAGCTCCCCAGAATTAGTGTCTCCCCTTCCATCCCCAAGGCCTCCATCATCCTTTATAATTCCACTTTCTCTTACAGAGAGCGAAGGATTCTGTTACGGCTGCCATTTCCTTATTTTTAAAATGGAGAGAGTAATGTCAGCCTAATGAGGTTATTATGAAGCTGTAGAAACTCTTGTGTGTGAAGAAGCCTTGTGATCTCTAAAGCAGTGGGGATCACAAAGGATTATTATGGCAGCCCCCCTCTCCCTCCCTTGGTAGAGTCAGACTGGTGCTACTTTTATGTTTCCTGTTTTGAGCAGCAGGAGGTAAAGATGAGAAAGTGATATCCTGGTCACAAATCTGTGGTCTGTCTCCCACTGTTCCTTTCCCCAGGTGAAAGTCAGTTCTTCGGTGCTCAAAGCTGCCGCCCATCACTACGGAGTTCAGTGTGACAAGCCCAACAAGGAGTTCATGCTATGCCGCTGGGAAGAGAAAGACCCCAGGCGGTGTTTAGAGGAAGGCAAGCTTGTCAACCAGTGTGCTCTGGACTTCTTCAGGTAAGAATCTTTCACATCAGTGCCTAGGGGCTGAAACATCTAGGTAGGTATATGTATCTTGGTGAACATCCTGCTAATAAAGTGAAAGAGTTTTAGTAGGAAATGCAAGACCTTGAAATCAGACCAAAATAAGCCCAAAGTAAATGATGCAATTATTTTTGTTATTTAGTCTGTTCTTTAATATCCATGAATCTTAATTTCCAAATTATAGAATAATACCTATCTTATACAGGACTGTTATGAAAAATTTGTAAAAGTACATAAAAACAACTAAGCACAGTGCTTGCTAACATGTATTCTCTAGAGTGATATTACTACAGAAGACTCAGTTATTATGGAGAGAAAAGTGTGTACAGAGTCAAGGTATTAAGTAGGCCATTATGCATTATACTACTATAAGTAAAAAAAATATCCAGATTGTAATTGTAGAAAAATGGTTTGACAGACTCTGTTATAAGGGACAGAAATTGCACTTGAAGGGAATTGGCTCATGTAGCTGTAAGGTCCAGAAATAGGACTGGCATCAGGCAGGGCTGGAATCAAAGGGATTACATAACTTCATAACTACTTGGTATCTTTTTGCCTCTCTTCTCCTCCCCCAATCTCTTAGTTCTGTTTTCCCCTGCCAAACTCATTTTCAGAGACTCTTTCCTTACTGTAGCAGAAGTGGCCACCAGTCATTCCACGTGGCTGTGTTGCTTGTCAGGTAGACGTAGGCCAATGGTACTGGTTGTCCAGTGGTATGAGCAGAGGTCCTGGACTGAGTCTCATTGGCCTGGCTGGTTGATTTCATGTGCGTATCTTTGAGTCAGGTGTGTCTCAGGAGATAAAATGCTATGTTTGGTCAGGCCTAAAGTGCGGAGTAGACTTAGATTCATCTAAACCACATTGCTGAGAGATAGGGAGGGATTATTCCCCAAAGAAATGCGAAGGATGTTACAGAAGACAGGAGACGACTGCTGGCTAGGCAAAACCCACAGATGTCCGTTACAATGACGGTAGAGGGAAAAATCAAATTCCTTCACATAATAGCTGCTTTCCTTCTTTCTTGCTTTTGCTCTCTTTGTCCATATGCAAAGGCATTTTTGTGGTTAAAGTCATAGTGTGTGGTTTAAAACTTATTTTTTACTGAAACTGTTGGGAACATTCTTTCACTCTCTAGATTGTCTTTGTGATCATTTTTACTGGCTATATGATATTCTACCAGTCTGTCAACCAACCATAATTTACTGGACCAGTTCCTGTTATTAAATGTCATTTTTTTATTCCAGTTTTAGATAAATCTGCAGTGATTACCTTTATGTGTAGATCTTTTTCTCTTTTTAATTAATTCCTTAGGGCACTTGGGTGACTTAGTTGGTTAAGTGTCTGCCTTTAGCTCAGTTCATGATCCTGGGGTCCTGGGATTGAGCCCCACATCAGGCTTCCCATTCAGTGGGGAGTCTGCTTCTCCCTCGCCCTCTGCTCCCCCCCCCTTATGCTCTATTATGCTCTCTCTCTCTCTCAAATCTTTAAAAAAAATTAATTCTTTGGCATAAATTTCCCAGCAGTGGGATTCTTCTGTAAAAAGGCTTTGAACATTATTTATGGCTCATGGACTATTGTTGCCATTATTTTTAAAGTAGCTGCCCTCAGCAGTATATCTTTTTATACCTTACCAGTATTGCACTTTATTTATTTATTTATTTATTTATTTATTTATTTATTTATTTATTTTTAAGATTTTTATTTATTTATGAGAGTCAACACAGAGAGAGAGAGAGGCAGAGACACAGGCAGAGGGAGAAGCAGGCTCCATGCACCGGGAGCCCGACATGGGATTCAATCCCGGGTCTCCAGGATCATGCCCCGGGCCAAAGGCAGGCGCTAAACCGCTGTGCCACCCAGGGATCCCTGCACATTATTTAAATATTGAATAAGTACAACAATATTTTATTCTTGCTTGAATTTGCATTGGTTTGATGGCTCACAAGATAGAACGTGTGTTTACTTGTTAAACATTTCTAAGAGAACTTTGGAAAAGCATTTCTGTTTTGGCCCAGAGGGAGTATATTTAAGTGGGAAAAGTTTGGATTTCACAAGCTCTGGAGGTGTCCCAGCTGCCTTCATGAGAGGAATTTCTTACTGAAGTTGCTTTTCATAGGTGTTAGTAGGTAATTGTTGAATGTGGGTACCAGGGTAACAGGGTCCAGAACAAAGACTAAGTACTACAAGTAGTACTAGCAGCTCTCCACTGTACCATGCTGGAGGAATAAAAAACTCACGTTGGGAACGGTAGCCCATTCCCAGAGTGATTCTCAAGTGAGGTGGGTGTAATTTTCTGTACTGTGGACATCCCGGTCAGTGAGGCCAGAGGCAATTCAGAAAAGCCCTATAGGGCTTTGATCTTCCTTCTTCCTTTCCACGCACACCCTACCACTCATAGTTTACAGTAGGGTCCCTGGAAGGGTATATAAGAAATTGGTAACATTAGTTGCTTCCTAGGAGGGAAACCCAGCAGGAATGGAAAGCAGATTTTTCACTGTGTATTTCCCCCATCCCATTTCTGAGGTTCCTTGTGAGCTGTGTTAAGTAAGATTCCTGTGTTGAGTGTAACTAGATTCTTGGAGTATGGCAAGTAAGCACTTCCTAAGCATGATTCCTTTGAGGGCATTTCTTCCACTGCCTCATTTATGGCTTTTACATAAAATAGTGGTAAGTAAGATTCCTGTGTTGAGTGTAACTAGATTCTTGGAGTATGGCAAGTAAGCACTTCCTAAGCATGATTCCTTTGAGGGCATTTCTTCCACTGCCTCATTTATGGCTTTTACATAAAATAGTGGTATTTATTCTTCATTGAGTTGGCATTTATTGGATTAACAGCAAGATTGAATGGTAAGAGAAAGAGAATTTTGCCAAATAATTGAGGCTTATCTCTTAGACACAAAAGTTACTGTTTCTTCAGCCAGTTTTGGCAGTCACAAAATGATTTACCTGCTACCTTGCTTCTTAACAGAGAGCACCAAATTAATTTAATTTTTTTTTAAAGATTTTATTTATTCATGAGAGAGAGAGAGAGAGAGGCAGAGACACAGGCAGAGGGAGAAGCAGGCTTCATGCAGGGAGCCCGACATGGGACTCGATCCCGGGTCTCCAGGATCCCGACCTGGGCTGAAGGCGGCGCTAAACCGCTGAGCCACCCGGGCTGCCCCTACTTTAATTTTCTTAATGGCAGAGATTAATCTGTTTTTGTTCAGTGCATTAATAGAGTGAGGACTTTGAACCCTGGGGAGCATAAGGTCATTTGCCTCTGTACTGAAAGACCCAGGATCTTCCACTTGTTAGTTTTTGTATTTGCCTTTGATAATTCTGTCTCTTCCTTTGCCATGGTCTGTCACCTCTGACTTTTGTCAAAATGCCTATCTTGGAATTATGCCGCCTCTTCTAAATTTGCTAAACTGCTAATCTTTAGAATTAGATCTAACAGAAAGAATAGATAAGCCCTAAGTGAGGAGTGTTCTGTGTAGAATATATGTGCGTTAGACCACAGTCTTTGCATTTCAACTCATTTATTTTTGCTACATAAAGAAATTAGATCTTATTCCTCAGCAATCTTTTTCTAGTTACTGGTTCTCATCTGAGGATCTCCAGGTTGTCTTGTAAATGAGATAAGACCATCTATTCTCCTACCTTTGAGAAAACAAGGCTATGTATTGGAGGTCTGTACTAATTTTTCCCCACTTTTCTGTTTTTCATTATTTTGCAAGGAGCTACCCCTAATCTAGCCTTCTTTTCCAGGCAGATAAAGCTTCACTGTGCAGAGCCTTTTACAGACTATTGGACATGCATTGATTATTCTGGCCTGCAGTTACTTCGTCGCTGTCGCAAACAGCAGGCCAAGTTTGACGAATGTGTGCTGGACAAACTGGGCTGGGTACGACCTGACCTGGGAGAGCTGTCCAAGGTAAAAAGTCTCCTGCTGGGAGCCCCATCTTCTCACTAAGGGGTGGGTAAGGGCAGGAGGTGGTCAGAAAAGGATCTTCTCTGAGTACAGATATGATGGGAGAAATCCGTATTTACCAAACAGGTTAATGAGGGAGTAATTATACACAATCCAGAAGGGAGTTTTTTTAATAGAAATATTTCTTTAAATAGATCCTCCAGCATCTGCAGATTTGTTTTTGTTTAATTATCTAATTGGAGAACAAAAGGGAGTAGATGAGGATAAACAGTTTTAGGGGCATTGGCAGTTGAAAGCATTGAAGTCATTGTGGAATTCAGAGAGGAAATCGGATCGAGGGTATGCCAGATTCTTCAGGCCAGATTTATCAGTACCTAGGATTTTTAAAAGTCTGTCCCTATAGTTTAAAAAGCATGTTTTCCTACTCTTGGTTCTGTATTTCCTCAGTCATGACCCCACCATCTCTTGAAACATTAGAAATCTGAATGTCTTTTTCCTTCATTTCCTACTCTTTCTCCTTTTATACAATCATCAATTCCTGTAGGTGAGCTTTTCCTGGATTATTTTTTGAATCCACTCACTGTCCCCACATTTTGAACAGGAGTTCTTAACTTGGGGTATGTGAATGTCTGGAGGGGAGGTTGGTTCAATTCAGATTTTAGGAGACCTTATATCACCGAAACGGAAGCTTTTAGGATATAATTATGTTTTCATTATAGGCATTATCTGTATGGAAAATAAATATCACTTTATTTTTAAAACTTCAGGGGCTTGCTCTTGCTTGCAGTATTCTAGCTTACAAGGCTCTTTGTGATCTGACCTATCCCTGCTTTTTAATTTTTTATTTTTAGAGAGGGGTTAGGGTATGGGTAGAGGGAGAGAGAGAATCTCATTATTCTCACTTGGGGCTCGATCTCAGAACCCTGAGATCATGACTTGAGCTAAAATGGAGAATCAGACGCTTCACCAACTGAGCCACCCAGGTGCCTTTGACCTTCTCCTGCTTCTTGAACCTTATCATCCATTCCCCCTGGGACAGATAGGTGTCAAGGCGTGGAGGGAAAACTCAGGTTTGAATGGAGGAAGATAGTACCATTGAATCACTATGGGATTCTGAGCAAATTGCTGGTTAAAAACATATAAAATATTGTCCTAACTCTTTTCAAAAGCTTATTTTTTTAAGAGGATTATCAGTTTTAGTCATACTTAACATCAGAATCCAGTCTCTTTTTAGAAAGGTGATGACCAGCTAGATGAAGCCTAAATTTTAGCTTTATTCACTTTTGCATTCTGCTTCCACCCAGTTGCCCCTCTTCCCTCTGTACCCCTGGCCAATTTCTACTCACTCCTCTGTCGTCAGCTTCCATGTCAGTGTCCTTGAAGTTTCCAGCCTTCCTAAGGCAGATGGCTCTCTCTCACCCATAATTCTGCCATCTCAGTAAGGGTAACATTGAAAATAACTTAGGGAGCACCTGCTGTACCTTACATCTGACCATGTATTGTCCTAATAGCACTGTGAGAGGTGGTCAGTCTTTACCTCTGACATGTAGCATGTATCTTTATCGTGAGCAAGCTAGCCTCCCTGGTCCTTACCTGTGAACTACAGATAATAATGCCTTACAAGGTGGTTATAATAATAATTGTGCTACTGTGAAAGCTCCATTCACAGTAAATAGTTTTTGCATTTGTGCATATGGGAAGACTAACCAGTTCTATCACATGGAATGGCTTGAAGATCAGACCACTACGTAACAACACTGTTAATACGGCCTTGTCTTTCCATTTCTCTGCATGTTTCCTCATCTTTAAAGTGAGAACAATTTATGCTGGGTTTCTTATGGAGATATTGTGACCACCAGGGATAATGTGGACGTGAGCACCTTCCATCTCTTTCCCTGTTACCATCATGTAGTGCTGCACCATCTTGCCAGGCCTCTTGATTTGGCTCTCCCAATTCTGGTCCTGTCCCTCTGTAATCTAGCTTCTGTACCTTCCAGCCTGCAGATGTGCTTCAATTGCTTCCCTACTTCAGTGGCATCTATTACCATTGGGTTAAAATTTAAACACTTTTTGCGCATCATTTAGTGTACCATCATTGTCTAGTCCTGTCTTCTAGTATAGTATGTTATTTTAAAAGCACAGGCTTTGGAGTAGACAGATCCAGCTTCGAGTACTAGTTTTTCCACTCTTATTAGGAAGATGGTCCCAGGGAACTTCTGCAAAATGATCTCATGGGAGTGTGAAAATGAGATGGAGTAAGGTGCTCAGTATCACTTCTGACAAGCACTTGCCTATGTGTTTCATGCAATCTTTGCCTTGGCCATTCTAAAGATATGCGTCTCTGTCTTCACGTGTATCGTTTTCTTGGAATGTCTTTCTCCTGCTAATCTTCCTGCCGGGCTCATGGCATCCTTTAAGATGAAGCTAAGTGTTACCCCCTCTGAAAGTCCAGCCACTAGCCTTCAGGATGGGCTACATGTGTAGAGTCCTTGCTCTAACTCTTAAGTCGCAGCACTTAGTTTGTGCATCAGTTGTGATGATTTGGTTGCTTGTCTGGCTCCCTCAGTAGTAGTAGTAAGTGAGTAGTAGTGAGCCCCTTGAGGACAGGGTGTGTTCTTGTTACCTGCTGTATCCCTAACTTCTGCCACGTGGAATGACCCAAAGAAGGCTTTCTTAAATGTTTATTCAAGGATCAGATGAGTCTAAATGTGGTTTGCTGGGGTTTGAAAAAAGAGGGGTAGTTGGGGCAACAGGAGCAGAGAGGAAATGCTGGGAGGTGCGTTCTTGGGCTCAGACTGTTCCACCTGACCTCAGCCTTGCTTCTGTCCTCTTCGCCCCTCACAGGTCACCAAAGTGAAAACAGATCGGCCTTTACCGGAGAATCCCTATCACTCAAGACCAAGACCAGAGCCCAACCCTGAGATAGAGGGAGAGCTGAAGCCTGCCAAACATGGCAGCCGCCTTTTTTTCTGGACCATGTAAAGATTGGTCCATGGCCCACGCTCAGTCACACGCCCAGACAACCACTGATGAAATTCCCATGCAGTTTGCATCGGCCGTTTGAGTGTTCTTTCCGGGATCACAAACTGAACAAAAAAGTTAATTTATGTGACTTGGCAGTTATTCTATACCATTTCCTGGCCATTAAAACTTTTAAAGGAAACAGTTGTATTTTATTATGTTTTATATAACCTTTTGGCCTTTAAAGATGACTTCCCTTTACTTGTCTTTCTTGTGGCCCTGTGTGTTCCTCTCTCTCTGCTTTAAGTCAGCCGGGGGAGCCACGTTAGATCAGGCAGAAAGGACTGTGTAAAGGAAAGGCTCCCTTACCTGTTTGTGTTCACTCATTTTGAAGTCTTACCACTCTCCCCATCCAACATTGCAAATAGCTTTCCTTAAAGGTCATGCAAGGAAAGTGTCCAGGATAGGAGAAGTGAAGAAATGTTTGAGCCTTGTGACTCAGGCCATGGGAGGGGCCTCCTGGCTAGGTTTTAGGCAGTCTTGCTCAAAGTTTCTTAAAGAACCAAACTTCCACCACTTCCCCTTGATAGTCCATCCTCAAGCATTATAACCCAGATGTTTTTCCTGATAGACAAGGGAGGTGGAGGCTGAGCTCCCAGCTCCAAAGCCAGGAAGTCGGGAGGTCTGAGTGTCAATTCCAACCTTGGGTGTGTTCCTTAACCTCTTGTGAGAGGTTGAATTTGAAGACAAACTAAAGACAACATGCTTATCTACCTCCTGGGCAGGTTAAAGCGACAAGTATTTATAAAGCTCGGGCTCAAAGCACTATTATGTCGTTCTTTTCCCTTTCCTTCAGTTCCTTTTTCACTAGTAGGTCATTTCCTCTACATCTCACTGGGTCGCTTTACACCCTTCTGCTTGTGGCCTTTTAATTGCGTGTGGCCCCATGTAAGTACGCGGCAGCTCCCATGTAAGGGCCTTAGTTTCCCTCTGTGGAGCTCCAAAATGCAAAGTCGACGTGTCTTTCCAAAGACCTTTCCAACTCCCACTCTAAAGATTCCGTGCAGGGAGAGTGCTGGGAGGCATTAGAAGAGGGGCAGGGCCTGTCACCCAAAGCATCAGTATAGTTCAGAGACTAAGTTCTGTGTGATTGGCTTTGCCCCTCCCCTACAGTTGGGAGCACTTTGGATGAACCTCATTCTTACCTGTTCTGCAAAAGTTCCTGACCAGCTGCCTTTGCCTCATTGTCAAATTTAATGTAGAAAAAGAATAGATTCTTTAATTTTAAAAACAGCTGAGGCAACATCTATGAACCTTCTTGGTGGCCAAGTAATTAGAAGTCACCCCGGTGGGGAAAGTATGAGCATGGTCACAGGTTGGCATTAATGTGCTACCTCAAGCACATGCGTTTGCTTCTTAGATTCTGCAAAAGAAGCTGGGACCTGCGTGAATAATAAGTATTCATTGAGCTTCACATGTGTCAACCCTTTGCTCAGCTTTTGAACAAATTTTTATTTGTCATGTCCATTTCACATTTTGTAACTGTAGCTTGGGGAGAGGTGAAGAAGCTCCAGTCCTCAACAGTAGTTGGGGGATGCAGATGAAGACTGGCTTCAGTGGCCACACTCGTTCCTCAAAGTCAGTGGTTCTCAGCCTTGGGTGCATATTCAAATCACCTGAAGACCTTGGAGCACTGATGTCTGGTTCCTGCCCCCACCCCCTGAGATTCTGATTTAATTGGTCTGCAGTAGGGCCAGGGCGGGGAGTTTTTGAAAGCCCTCAGGGTTATTCTAAGGTCCAGCTAGGGGATAGGGTCACTGATTGACTGTGTACATGAAGCAGATCCAGATTAAGTGCTAAGTAAGAAGTGGCTAAGCTGAGATTTAAGCCCAGATATATCTGGTTCCAAAGTCCATGCTCTTGGTATATACCACTGCATAGAAGTCACATGAGATCTTAAAATGAAGATTCTGGTTCCATAGGTCTGGAGTAGGTTCTGACTTTTCTAGTAAGCTTCTTCTTGGTGCTGATGCTGCTGGTCCGTGGACCACAGTTTGGTTAACAAGGGAGTAAACCACACTACCTTTCTGACTGGAGCACCTATATCTGATTACCCTGCTGCAGTGTCTAGCACCAGGTCATCCCTAAATGTTAATTCACCTTTTTAGAATCAGAGCCACAAGTCCTGAACTGTTAATGGCTGCAAATTCAATAGTAGGATGTTTTAACTTTTGCCCAAGTTGGACAGAAGTTCTCGTCTTTCCCCCTCCCCACCTTGCTTTGAATTCCTTGAACAAAGAAACTAACATTTGGCTTTCCTACACACCACATCATAGCCTCCTAGGACCAAAGAGTCCGAGTGAAGATAGAATTCCCCAATCTCTCAGAACAAATGTGTCTCTCAATTCCAGTAGGTAAAAGGTCACAGAGCAATTTGAAAGCAGTTAGTGTGAAGGATCTCTGAGCAGGGCTTCAAATAATAAGAAAATCTTCCTGCTGGCTTGAGAATAATGAGACTAATTCCTCACTTTTCCAAAGGAAATTTATCTACCCCCTTTCCTCTGCCCTGCCTGTTCCTGTCTTCCCTATCTGAGTGAATGGTGTCTCCATCCTTCCAGAGTCAAACAGGAGACTTGCCTTTTGACTCTTGCTCACTCCTCTCTGTGTTGCCATCCACTACTCGGCCCTATTGCACTCCCTCCATAACCTCTCACATTTGTTACTTCCGCTTTTATCTCACTGTCACTGTCCTAGCTTGTTTTTGTTCCCCTTGCCTGGATTGTTAACACTACTTCCTATTTGGTCTCATATCACCACATCACCCTCCAGTCCCTCTTCCGACTTGCTACACGTGCCTCTGCTGCTCAAAATCCTTCAGTGGCTCCGGAGTGGCTATTGACTAGAACCCAAATTCTTACTGGCATCCTGACACTCCACAACCTAGCCTTAGCCTGGCCCATTTCCTCACCATTATCTTCTCCTTATCCTGTGCCCTGCAGTCTCCCAAACGCCTTTCCCCAAGAGTGTTCTCTGATGTCCAAATCTTCACTTATGCTGCCATCCACTTGTTGGGAAACAACCCTTCCCCCATCTCTGCCTTTTGAAAGTCTACCCATCTCTCAAGGCAAAACACGAATGCTGTCTTCCCCAGGAAATGTCCCCTTCCTACAGCCAGAAGTGGTCTTTCCTGCCCCTTTGTTCCCATGACACAATATAACATACGGGTTGAGCACAAGGGCTCTGGAGTTGGGCTGTCTAGATCTGAATCCAGGCTCTCATTTAATAGCTGTGTGACCCTGTGCAAGTCACTTAACTTTTCTGTATTCTATTTTCCTCACCTGTAAAATGAGGGGGACAATCATAATACCTACCTCCTGGAGTGGCTCTGAGGACTTCATGAGTTATGCACATGAGATGCTGAGTACAGTGTTGACAAATGATAGCAATCGTTAACACTCTGAGTAGCACCAGTCATGGCACTGGGTGTGTTGTATCCCCCTCTGGACTAAGTACTGTGAAATCTGAACTTCTGTCTTATTTGTATTTCTATATTCTAGTGCCCTGTGCCTGACAGACATCCAGGAAATGATTAACTGTCCATCATGTTTATTTTTCCAAAGAATTTCCAAACCCCCTCCTTGTTACAAAACAACAAACACATTAATCTTTGAGGTTAAACTGCCATCTTAATAGGTATCAAATCCTAGCTGAATTGCGTTGGGTATAAAAAAAGATGCATTCTTAGGCCCTAAAAGGGATCATAACATACTTGGGTTTTAACATGTAGGAAGTCTCAGCTTGGGGTTGGGACATCTTTTTGCATCTTGATCATTTGTAATATGTGCCACCAGTAATTTGAGTAAAATATTGAAATTTACAAATATATTTACTTTAAAAAATAAAATGGATTCAAGAGATTGGGGAAGGTTAAGTAAGAAGCCCCAAGTTTGATGTGTGAGAAGCAGGTCTGTTAGTGCTAAATCTGGGAATCAAATGGGGGTTGTCTGATTCCAGCAGCCATACTCTTGACCTTCAAAGCCACTGAGTCTCAGCCTCAGATGCACACTGGAATCACCCAGAGACATTTAAATAGTGATGTCTATCTGGATCCCATACTCCAGATATTCTGGCCCAAATGATCTGTGGTATGGGCTTGGGCATACAGATTTTATAATAAATAATATTGCTCAAATATACTTTCTTTGGTGAAAGAAAAAAGAGTATATAATTACAGCTAGCATCCTTAAAGTACATGGATGAATTCATTCATTCAATCAACAAGCATTTTACAGCCTGCTGTGTGCTAGTTAAGCATGGGTGATGAACAAGGCAGATGGAGTCCTGCTTTCATGGGGCTTCCATGTGGTGGGGGGGCAATAAACAGGTCAATACATGAAAGGTGAACAGGATAGTCTCAGGTTGTGATAAATCCCATGAAGTAACCAAACAGGGTTAATATGAAAGTGAATAGGGAGGGGTGGGGGAGGATATGTTTAGGAAGAGAGGCCATGGAGGTCTTGGAGTGGTATTTAAGCTTGCCTCCAGATGAAAAGGAGCCCACCAGTTAGATAGCTGATAGAAGAGTGTCCAGTGTGAGGGAATAGCAGGAGCACACCCAAGGGCTTGGTGTACTTCAGGAATGATCTGGATGGAGTGTGCCTTTGTGGGTATAGGCCCAATGCAGCAGCTTACCTCTACCTTTAACCTGATGGGGACATTTCCTGTCATAGGCGATTCTGTAGACTGCTGGGTAAAGTCCAGACTCCTCTGTGTAACAGTCTCTCTCTCTAGAGTCTAACTGAGACCCCTCCAGCTTCCTCTCCCACCACTTTTCCCCACCCCCCTGCTCTCAGCCAGTTCAGACACCTTTCCTCATGTGCTCCCTCTGCCCCAAAGTCCTCCCCCACCTCTTTTTGGTGAACCCTTCTCTCAAGATGCAACTGAAACTACCTCCTTTGTGAAACATCTCTCAACTACCCCCAGAGTGAGCCCCACCTTCCCTTCCTCCATATTCAAGAGCATCTTGTCCATTACAGCTATCGTGGTCCCGGTGAGCAAGAATCACATCCTATTTTCCCCAGCATCTACCTCATGTTATGGTGGCTGCTGGATAGTCAGTGCTTAATAACTATTTGTTGGATAAATGTTACACAGCCATTGGCCTCTCCAAAAGGGAGTAGCTTCATTAATCATAAATGTGTA